ACCCATCGGCGTCCACACTCACATCCACACCCAGACCTACACACACATCTTAAACGCACAAACATACCCATCGGCGTCCACACTCACATCCACACCAACAGTACACACGTCGGCATGCTCTGGGTTACCTTTCACAATTTATCAAAGAGAACTCAACTATTACATAAAGCTTTCTTATTTTGTTGTAAACTTACGGAACTCAGAGAGTTCGAACCAGATCAGACATAATTGACCACATAGAAATGTAGGAACACACTTTGTGCGCATTGAAGAAATGTGCCTTGACGATTTCTCATTTAGACATTCTTGCATACGTCCAATATCTTTCAGTCATTCATAAATGATCACCAAAATCAGTTCTAGTATGCCTTATTCAACTGTGCGATTGTTTCGTACTGCTGTGCCGGTGTCGGTTTTTATCTACATCATTATGTTTCTCTCTGGTTAAAAAAAGTCGTTTTTTTTCTAATGTAATGCGAAGAAAGAAGGAGAGATTTGTTGACGTTCTCGTGACATTCATAAGTAGTCAATCATTTTTAGTTCTTATTTAACAGCGAAGTGCAGTTGCACAAGGTAAATATATAAAAATGACTGTTTGAAACATGATAAGAGATCCATCATTCCTTATTCGGCACTGTTTTCATCGAATTCAACAACTTTTGATGTATCGCTTCAAGATTTTTGTCTCATATTCGTTGCACCACTGTGCTAACTAGAAATGGTCTCTCTCTCTCATTTGAGAAACGAACTGAGTCAAGAGTATGAGTATGAACAACAAATAGAGACCTCATTTTTCTATTAAGGATACCCACGAAAAAAAAAATTATGCAAAAACGCGTTCCAACACAAACTTTTAGAGAAAAAAAACTATTTTTGCGTTTAAATGCATCTTTCTTTTGTCTGACACGCGTCTAAACGCATCGATTTTCATTTACGACGCGTTTAAGTGCATCTTTGTTTATTCACAACGCGTCTTTTTCAATTTAAAATGCCACCCAAAAGCATCGTTCGAACATATTTTATTTTAAGCGTTACGACGCGTTTATGTGTCATGCATCTGAATGCATTTTTGTCGAGTTCTTTTGCTGAACGCACCAACTTTTCACAAACACACTTAAACGCATAGCTTTTACCACGTTTTTTTTAATAAAGGCGTTTGAACGTATATTTTAATGCATGCTTTTTCTTGCAAAAAAATGAGGCTTTTACAAATGCGTTAGAACAAATTTTTTTATGCGTTTGTTATAGAGAAAATGATTAACTTCACAAGCAATTTAAAAGAATATCTAGGCTTATATTTTGAGTAAAAATGTCGTTATATGGCGGAAAAGTCTGCTGCTATTCAGAAAAACATTTTACAGGATCATATTCGAGAATAAATCGCTGTAATATACCAATTTCAAAGATGAATTTTCTGACTATAGCATATCAAAATGTATTTCAATATTATGAAAGTAAGAAATAGTTATGCAACAAAACGTACAAGTAGAGACAAATTCGACTAAGTTTATTTGTTCAAAAAGATTTTTTAAGGAAGTTGAAGAAGCTTTGCATAAGATAATATCACGAGGTAACAACTCTGTTAAATTATTTCTGTGTATCCATGGGTTACAAGATGTTCTTTTAAAGTTGCTAACAAAGTTGCTAGCAATTCATATTTAGAGCATTATTTTTATGACACTTCCAAGATTTTTCTTCAGATTATGCAGACTATACAAAATAAAATGAGTAACATCGCGAGGTACTTGTAATTTGAAGAAATCCCATCTTCAATTCATTTAAAGTTATACTTTAAACATATAATGTATCTTATTTATCACCTACACATTGTGCTAATCAAATTTTAGCCCAGCTTCTTTCCCTCGTTACTTATTTTCTGTATAGGCCATCAAGAATTATTAGTTATTCTGTTTCCAATAAAAGCTCGAATATGTATATGAACAACATTCGACAAATGATGCACTTTAAAACACAAATTGTTCGTCCTCTCCAAACATAGTTACTGAGTAATATCGATAGCAATCATAATC